AAGGGTATGGAAATGATTGTTTAGCTTCTCCATCGCTGGCAAATATACACGACAAGTTGGCTGTTGAAATCACAAAAGGTGGGTTAGTAATGCTCATGCAGCCTGGTAAATTTACTGGATATTGCTATTTAGCTGTGTCACATGCGGATTGGGAAGTTCGCGATACGGTAGTAGAGATTGCAGCAGCTGTACCCTGTTTTCGCCCCATGTTGGGTAAGCGAACCACCGCTATTTTTGGGAAAATTCTCAGCATCTGTGTGGTTCTAGGTCCACTAACTCCTTTGGTTAAATTCGATCCATCACCTTACGTTAGAGCTGCTGCTCTCCGATGTCTAATCCTCGATTCGCAATACCATCAAGATGAATTACCTCAGCTTTGCGAAAGTGTTGTATTGCTAGATGCAGATGCAGAGCCTAGGTGAATGTCGCTTTTTTCAACCACCTCGAGTTGACAGATTACAATTGCCCTTTTAGGCTTGTAGCTATTCGTTACTTGCAAGGAACACTTGCAAAGAACATTAGTCACGTTTTCCGCATTCTTCCAAAGGCTATTGAAGACACTGACGATGAAGTGAGGCGCATTATGATCGACATGTGTCCGAGCCTACTTGTTGTCGAAGAATATGCTGCAGACACTGCGAAGGAACTGCAGGAATGGACAGAGGTAGATACAAGAAACGATTTACAGAGTAAGGGGTTACCTTCTGAATTAAGGATGCCGAGATTGGAGCAGCGGTTCGTGAGGTATTGGGTGAGCCAGCAGCTGAACGACCCGATCCAGTTGAGCATATTCTGGCAGACATGATGAATGCGTTGCGTGTGAACATCGATGATACCATTGATTGCTATTGAATGGTATTATCTCCATCAATAAATATTTATTGAAATCTTTTCCGCAATTCACCTCAAATGGTGAATGGTAGAGTAATAAGTGACCAAACCCGACGTATCTATCCTCTGTCTCATTTAGACTGAACCCGTTTTGAGCGGCTCGAATCTGCACGACCGCCTCGCTTAGGCTCCTCATTATACTTGGGTCCGAATCGAATGATTCGATCATTCGAATAATGTGAGGAAAAGATGGCGATACAAGAATGGAGGAAGATGAGAATATGCGCGATATGATATGATATGCTT